GGGGGCTGGTTGAGGACACCCCTAGGGGGGTGTCTCGGCTCCAAAACCGAGACACCCCTTGGGGGTGTCTCGGCCATGGCCGAGACACCCCAAGGGGTGTCTCGGTTTTGGAGCCGAGACACCCCCCTAGGGGTGTCCTCAACCAGCCCCCTACCCCTTGCTTTTCCTATAAATAGGCCCCTAGGGCCTCCATTCTCTTGGCCTTGGTTTTGGGAGAGGAATTTCAGATCTAGAGCTCTAGCCTTTGAGATCTGAAATTCCAGAGAGGAGCGGCGAAGCCCTGCCGGAGGAAGGAGTCGGGGTTTTCTAAGAGAGCGGCGAAGCCCTGCCGGATCGAGGAGTGAGCGAGCCTTCTGCAGCAAAGGAGCCTCCCCCCTTCTTCATTCCCCTTTCTATTTTCCCTTAGTGTTGCCCTTAGCGGTGATACAAAGGAGAGCTAGTGCCTCGTTTTAGCCGAGACATAAGCTTTACACCTCTGAGATCCCACGCGGATCGACGGGGTTCAGAGTTTCTAAAATCCCCCCGCGGATAGACGAAACTCTGCCCGATTTTCTCGGACCAGATCTGAGTGCCCCGGTGGTCCACGGATATCAACATCCCCGTCACAGGCAAAAGACCCACGCAAGCAAGAGATGACAAACAGATCTTGCGTTTGTTTGAAAAGAGTTGTATCTATTTTGTTTTCATTGTGTACCGGTCTTATAAAAAGGCTATCTTTTTATTTCATTGTAACGATTGAAGTTGTAATGAATGCAGCAATGAATACAGCAACTTTTTCCGCAAACAAGCTGGCGACCACAGTGGGAGCCAACGGCATCGCAACCGACGCCGTCGTGACGCAACCAGCACTCAAGATCGGGGTGAATGAAGAACACGAGCTCGATCAACAACGGTTCAAAGAAGGCCTCTCTTCCTCCTCCTCCAGATCCGCCTCTCCAAACGGGTACAGAAAGGTAACCTCTTTCATAAATGATTGCAGGTCCTTCGGTTCAAAAATCCAAGACCCCGTTGCCGCCTCTGCACTTGCACCACGCGACGTCCCCACGTCGTCCAAAATGGTCGAGATCGCAGATCCGGACTCCTCTTCCGCCGAGGAGATGACTTCTGAAGACGCTCCGGCATTATCAAAGAGAGCACGACAAAGACAGCGTCAACGTCTTGCTCGACAGCTGGCCGAGGCTTTGGAGCCAATGGATGGGATCCGCTATAACGTGGATCTAAAATCCAGGCAACGCCAGGAGCAACCACGGCAAACAACCAGCCCCTCCTCCGAAGCAGAAACAAACAAATGGGTTCATGTCAAAAGAACCCGTTCTACTCTCGAGGAGCGAATCCAGAAGCGTCGCGCCTTGCGTGCGCATGCCCGAGCCCTAGTCCAAAAAGCACGAGAAATGCTAAAGGGAGAGGCAGTTAAGAGATCGCCGAAATCCGAACGAGTTTGGATGCCGAAGGCCAAAACAACGCCTGAGATAAAAGCAGTTAATATTGCTCTCCAACCTTCGTCCATTTCAGGTCCCGAACCTTCGGTAAAGCCCCACCGCAGCGTGGATTTCCCCAAGTTCAAGAATCCTCTGAACAACCGCATCGACGCTCTACCCGAGAATCGAGGAAAAGCGCTTGTCAAATCGCTGAAGGAGCTTCGAGCCAACATCCAGACTGGGGGTCGTACACGATCTCCTAACAAATCGATCTCTGCAACAACCAGCTCGGCGGTGCGTGCAAAGGACCAAGAGCCCGTTAAGGTTTCACCCTCACAAAGGAGTGATTCCAAACGTGCGACTCTTGCGGAGGCCAACAAGGCAATGATTACTCAGAAGAAGACGCGTCCGACAAACGAACGCGTTATACCTGAGAACCCATGTGAGCAGCCGATAGGTTACTCCGACGGCAACGTCGATGAGTTGTACTATCAGGCTGGGGGTGCGGATGAATCTCGAAAGAGAAACACCCGGGAAGCGGATTCTCACTGTCCGTGTACCAAACTTATCAGGGCAGTATTATCAGCCTGTAGCTGCCCCAAGACCGCTCCACAGAGGGTCTCGATATCCGAGAGAATCTCCGATGGAACGACAAAACCCAAATCAAGGCGTTCCCACCAAAGAGGATCGATTGCTCGAGATGATGAACCCCTAGAAGTGACTATCAACATGGTCAACAAGGGAAAATCCCCAATCATTTCAGGTGATTCCGACTCTAATTTCTCTTTGGGAAGCAGGGTCAATTCAGGGATAGCTCAACTTCCTAGAAGCCGACAGATATAACAACAATCGTGGGATCCATGAAGGAGTCCTTTCCGATGATGAATCCTCAGATTCCCATTCCGCGCTCGCCTCTGACGATACAACGTCTAGCATAGGGCAAGCTCGAGAGGTGCTCATGGTCAATACAGATCAGATAGCCAAAATCATTGAAGAGGCCCTGGCTAGGCAGAAGGAAATCTTCAAGATCAAAATGGGAATGGCTATGCAGGAGATGAAACAAATGCACGACCAACAAATCCGCGCTTTGTCAAGTCAGCTAGCTGAATCCAACCGTCGCACCCAGAACGCCGCAGTTGGTAGCAATCCAAAGGTGGACGAAATCATCATGGCCGACGCACCACCCAAGAATACTGGGGGTGGCCCCACTAAAATTAACAGCGCTGGGGGTGGACCCACCAGTGATGATAGCGCTGGGGGTGGACCCACCAGTAGTGACAACACTGGGGGTGGCCGTATGATTCCTCTCGAAACTTATCCAAAACAGGATATGGGTGAGGCCAAAAAGATGAAGGAGCTCGAAAGAAAAATCGACGCCCTGATGTCTACTCGAGAGGTCAAGAAGACCGACATTCCGTGTCCTTACCCGAAAGAGTGGGATTCGATCCCATACCCAGCAAAGTTCAACCTGATCAATTTTACGCCGTTCAACGGAAAAGGCTCGCCCACTCAACATCTGATCTACTTCAAGTCCCACTTGGGGGTGATCTCTGGCAACGGACCCTTGATGGTTCGGTCATTCGTTGGCACCCTTCGCGGGCCCGCCTTCGATTGGTACCGCCGTCTCAAGCCCGGAAGCATCAACAGCTGGGAGGACTTGGAAGGCATGTTTCTCGCCCATTTCTTCGATGATGACACCGAGGTGTCGATCAGGACACTCTTCGACGAGAAACAAAAAGGCGGAGAGTCGGTGGATACCTTCATCAAACGCTTCCGCAATCAGGCAATGAACTGCAGGGATCCCGTCACGGAGGAATTCCTCTTGCAGACTTGTCAGAACAACTTGTCCATTAACATCTTGGACGTGATGGGAATAGAGCCGCTCAATACCTGGAAAGAGTTGAAGGCTCGAGGAGAACAGGCTGAACGCTTCATCAGAAGGCGGAAGGTCGAAAGAAACCAACCAATGGTTGACCCTCTGGATTCGGATCTCGTACCTCATGATGAAGAGGACGTACCTGCAACGGTTATTGACGATGATCAAACGTCACAACAGCAGTCCTGGGAACAACAGGAGAATTCAGACGAGGAGCTCCAAAACGAGTACTCGTTCAAAGACGAAGACGTTCCAGCTATTTTCGAGACCCTTCTCGAAAACAACAAAATCAAACTCCCGCCCATCACGCATCAAGAGGAAGATGGCGATTCTGCGGATCCAACGTACTGCGAGTACCACAGAAGGATCCTCCACCCCACCAAGGAATGCTTTGCTCTCAAGAATAACATCCAGACCTTGGTTGAAGCCGGCGTTATAACGCTAGGGTAAGCCGATTGAAAACGGCAATACTCCAAAGAGTACAAGAGTATAAACTGTTCCTCAATACTCTCAGCCGATGTGGTGTTGTAGGCGAAGCAACGAGAGTTGAAGAAAATTTTGGACCAACTTTAAGGTCTGCTGCTAGGGTTCGAGGATCTTCAAGTGGTATTGCTTTGTCATCTAGGAGGAGCGAGCCGGACTTAGATGATGAAGAAGAGTTCAATGAAGAAGAGGAGGAAACTGAGGATGAGAAAATTCCACTTCAGTTGGATGATGATGATGATGGGGATGACTAGACACTCTGTTATTTTGCTATTTGCTTATTTTGTTTCGTAGACTTTTGCTCGTGTTGGATATTATCTTGCATTGTGATTTGTGGAAACTTATGAACTTCTCTATGTTATGCATGCTAATTAAGACTCTTTCGTGATTTAGTTGGTGAAATTAAATTTCTTAGTTTTTTTATGTGACAATTTATAAACATGTTGCTTATATGCTTCTTTGTATTATGTTGGAAAATATTAGTTTGAGTTGTGCGCCTCAATTCAGTGAGGCGTACGCCTCGTTGCGCGCCTTGCGCGCATGGTGCATAAGGGACCTTTGTGCCCCGCATTGCACCTTGCGCCTCGATAACACTGCATTCTAATGCGAGGAAAACTACAAGGTTTTCCACATTAGATTTGTCAAGCAGGCAACTTGGCTTAAAATTCTAAACTAGGTATCAAGCACGATTTTTAGTTCTACTGTTACTATAAAACATATAAGCAACCGATACTTTAATAGTAAAGCCAGGTCATGCTTGGCACCCGTCACTTGTCAGATATGCGTCTACATGATACTTTTGTTGTGTCGTTTGTACATACAGTTATCTAATCTGGGGTAGGGTGTCATGTCCGATTATGTCCATGATCTATAAATCAAAATAAAGAGCCAAGTTTTTAATCTTACTATGACATGCATCATTCGTGTCATCTATTTCTAGGGATTGTGAATAAATGACAACAAACGTTAGAATTAAAGTCAAAAGCCAGTGGTCAAAAAATATCCGAAGCCTGTTCCAATGACCAGAAGAGTTAGCGTATGAAAACTTTCATCACTTGTTCCAACCTACTGCTGGTGATATTGGTCCATATCACAGATGGCAGACTTGAAATTGACTGAATGCTCAGGACAATGTCCAGAGCCTGTTCAAATAAACAACATGTAAATTATGGTACTTCTGAACCATGATTTTGCATCAACCTTGACATGTAAATTACAAAAGGACCGTTGTGGAATTCAAATGGTGCTTGTGCATAATATTGTAGAATTATTTGTCAAGTAAAACCATTATTTGAGAAAGTTTAGCACCAGACTAAGACTTTTCCATCCTTACTTCAATAATGTCTTCTCAACAAGCTCCTTTTAGTCTTCTTCTTGATGCACTAAATTTCGTACTTCGTGTATGGGAACTGTGAGACCCTAGGGAACTCAAGGGAGGGTGGTTTACAATTATTTAATAGGCAGTTTTAGATATGATAAAACTATTTCATCATCTCTATCCCGAATACATAGATCTGAAAAGATCTCAGTTTGCGGATCTCTTGCCAGTCATCCATCTGGTTGGACTTTTTTCATAACTGAAAGAGTACATGTATAAGTCATTGGCATCTTCTGTTAGTCTTGTTGACCCAATTTTGTTTCCTCAGGACCATGGTTTCGGATGTCCAATATTTCTTATCCAGAAATTTCAGATCTACAAACAACAAGTGAAGAATTGCGATGTAATGTGAAGCCATTCTTATTTTGAAAGATCTTTTGCGTTTTGGTGTTGGGATCTATTTTTGATTATTAATGCACTTTTATATTGTCTACAGTGGCTGGTTACATCTGCTCATTTAATTGCAGTGAGGATGTAGTGAAATATAACATAAAAGAAGTTCTCGAGGTGCTGAATGTTTTCGAGATGAGAGAAATTTCAAACAGTATACTTTCTAAGGTAGCTTTACTCTAGCGGTTTGGCAATGCTATTCTCAAAGCAACAAGTGACTAGCACGTTTCCTTGTTTCTTCTTGTTTGCTTTCTCTATGGCCAATCCTTTGTTTTGATACAAGAATTTAAATTAAATGAGTAGTTGTGTTTTCTGCCGTTGCAATTACACCTTATGCAATTAAGCATTGATATCATTGAACTGTTCAAGTCAATGAAAAGAATATTGAACTGATTCTGGCTAGCTATTTTGCTTTCTTAATATATGAACTGATCCATTAATTTGATTATGCAACCTAGTTAGAACTTTCTTGTGTTTCCTTTCACATATTTTAATTGTTGCATGTGTGACATACATAGCTCAGAAAAATTCTGAGGAAGAGGTCAAAAGATAATGTTTGCCATATCATCCATGGCACAATCGTACTCGTAAAGCATATTTTTAAGATAGGAAAATGCACGGGCTAAGTAGCTGAGGTGAATTTCTTAGTAAAATTTAAAAATCATCTCTGAGTCCTTTGAATTCATGCATTTGAAATGCTTGTTGTTCATCCTCCTTGATGGATGAATTTGCCTATAATTTTGCAGTCCTGCCTTTGTTTGAGGAACTGTTTCATCTTGAATTCTGGGCTTGTAGTTTTTCTTCGAGATAGGTTCAACTGTCGGGAATCGTCCTCTTTGTCTTGATTTTTCATGAAGACTATAGGAAGTAGAGTCAATATTTCATTTTGGCATGTCTAAAAGGCCAAACCCTGGGCAGATGTTCAAAAATTGCAGACTTTAACGTCACCACACAAAAAAAGTATTATCTATAGGGATATTCAGACTATTTATATAAAAAACTGGTGAAAGTTTGGTATTATTTTATGAATAAGGAATTAACATGTAATTCATATGCTTGAAGGCTTAGTTGTTTAAACCATGATTGTCTCCATCTTTATTTTGAATACAAAATTACTGTATCAAAAAAATATGAAAAGAGTATTGTAAGAGTATAAAATTATAACCTTCAACTCTCACCATAGCTTTGGAGTTTTGGTGTAGTGGCAAAATCCTTTGACATTGTATTAGAGCAACCTAGGTTCGAATCCCTCTGACCATAAATTTAAACCGAATTTTTAAGAAATAGATACCATTGCGTACGTCTGGATTCCGGCCCATGAAAATGGCACTCAACTTGCAAGGACATCTTGTATAAAATTATCTCTCAACCCTCATCATAATTTTGTAGTTTTGGTGTAGTGGTAGGGTCTTTCGCCAATTATTTAGGCAACTGTCATAGCCTATAGCTGTTCTATTTGCCAACTGTGTAGATCTAGCAGTTACATAGTTGGTCACTATCATTTATAATCAGTCTTGTTATGAATGCTCTATCTATTACATGGATCATTTTGGATGGCTCCTCCTAGATTTGGTTGCTGCCATGGTTTATGCTCCTAGATTAAAATTGGCTTCTGATGACTGCACATTATGAGATAGTGTGTGGACAGATACGGGTCACACATATTCGGACATGTCAGAGAATATAATTCTCATTATCTAGTATGTAAATGATGATATAAGTTTTCTTTGCCTCTCTGATTCCTAAAAAGATACTGGACTATTTTTCCCATGTTATCCGAAGTATTATAAATTTATGAAGTTGTCCAATGCTGCATCTTTGGAGGATTATTGATTTTGTGCATGTGTACCAAGAAGGTTGCGTTCCTGTTTGTGATATACTTTATAGATAACAGTATTCAGTGAACTGACTTTTCTGTTGATGCTGAAAGATTGAAAAATATCTGCTACAAGTTATTCAGTGAACTATAATGGCAAAAAAAAAGTGCTGACTGATATTTCAATTGGGCCATTGGCGAATGTTTTTTACCGAGTTGCGGAGCATTACCTATATGGCTTGTGAAAATCAGTTAACCAACCTTGTTACCAATAGTTATGGTGTGGTTTTCCTCTTTGAGATTTCTTGCGCTGTTATGTATTTCCAAATAAGCTTCTAATGGGCCTCTGAAATTTTCATTTTCATTTTCATTTCCATTTTTTTTCTTGTGTATCAAACCTGCAGAAAGGAGTCAATTTAACTCGACGACAGGAGCTTATTGATGCTCTTTTTTCTGCATATGAAGATGAAACATGGTATTTCAACTTTCATATATATATATACGTATATATATATATATATATATATATATATATATAGATATATATATATATATATAATATTTATCATAATATATATATATAGTAATATTTAATGAGATTAAGGTATCATTGTCAAGGAGGGATTTCCCTCTTGGCAATGAATTTGGCACAATCCCACAGGTGGGATTAAAGTAGGAGAGAGAAATCCCACCATTTATTGTGCTATCTATCTATTATCTTAAGGAGGGAAATCGCCCCTCCTTGACAGTGATACACCAGTTAATATCTCTCTCGTCTCTCTCTATATATATATATCATATAACTATATATACATATATATATAATATATATATATATATATATATATATATATATATACATATATATATGAGATTAATGGGTATCCTTGTCATAGGAGAGGATTTTCTCCTTAACGCCTCTAAAATCACATGATTGAGGCGACATTATGGATGATCGCTCCGTTAAACTTGATCTAGCATATTCTAAAACCCCAACACACCAAGTTTGGGGTGAATCCATTCGTCGTTTGACCGCTTTATCCACTCGTATCAATTTTAACGTTTTGAAATGAATAGAACTTTTTCACATGGCTCGATGGAGGGGTCAAACGACGACGGATTCACCCAAACTTGGTGTGTTGGGGTTTTAGAATATGTAGGTCAAGTTCAACAGAGCGGATCAATCCATAATGTCGCTCAATCATGTGATTTTAGAGGGGCGTTAAGAAGGAAATCCTCTCCTATGACAAGGATACCCATTAATCCTCTCTCTCTCTCTCTCCTCTCTCTATATATATATATATATATATATATATATATATATATATATATATATATAATATATATATATATATATTATATCGACGTTACCCTAGTAATTGGAAAATAATAATTTTGATCTTCATGGATATTGCAGCCAGCTTCTTCCAAAGATGATCCTGGAAAGAGCTGGAACCTGTATAAAGATTTCTTCAGCTGCTGACATACTATTTTGGCGTGTTCAGGTGATTTAATGGTGCACTGTACAAATTCTTCACAGAAACGTAATTGCTCTATTTCAACTCAGTGACCAGTTTCGGTTTTCTCAAGATTAACATTTTATTGTGTTTTGCAGAGGCTCTTTTTCCTCAATGGTGAACAAGACTTTTCTGCTTTCCTTCTAAGTGATCTTGGGCTGATTAAATTTCCTCAGTATAATTGCGCTATTGTACACCCAATCTTTCAGTATCGAAGTGACCTGCTTGAATATGAAGAGGTAGATTCTCCTGCTTCTTTTTTCCCCCATTTTGCTATTTTGTTTTCTTTTGTTGTTCCCTTCCGGTCAGAATCTTACTAAAGGTCGGATTTAATTTTTTGGTTGATGAACTTATAATTGCATGCTTTTCTCACCTTAGCCTGAATTTGTAATCATACTTAAGGAGTTTAGGAGTTATCTTCCAACTGATAGCTATCATGAAATACTAGCAATTATCCCTCACATGACGGGGGAAAGCAAGGAATTCAAACGCTATATAAATGATTGGAATCAAGTGTCTTCTGAAATGATTTTATCTTAACAATCATAAATGTTGAAAGACAATTTGACTTGTTCAAAAACATAACAATATATCTTACCTTGCTTATATTTGAACTTTATATAGGTTTTCTGCTTGCATCTCAACTGGTTTGCAAATATTTCATATCTGTAATTTAATTATCCATTGGGAAAGAAAGTGAGTGAACTAAATAGTGAGAGAACTAAATAGAAAGATAACTCCATGAATAGAACCTATCCCACGATGCTGCCTGTGCCTGTGCTTGTGCTTCTTTAACGAGTAGAACTTATAGATTAGCAAATATTTGATGTCTCATTATAATCTAGTTGTTTGCTGTATTGGTGAACTGTAATATTATTTAGGAATGAGGTAGGTTCCTAATAATCTAGTTAGCCTTATCGTTTATGTGCTATGGATTTTTAGCTCTATCATGAACCATACCATGTCCCAATTTATTTATTGCATATTTATAACTCAATATAACACATTTGGGCAACCATTGCCTAATATTCTCAATCTCCTCCTAGTCTATCCAAATGGATACACATGCCTTCAGAATTCAACGCATATGAACGATAGATCCAAAAAAGTCTTACAGCGAGCAATTGGAAGTAACAGAGACTAGAGTACGCCTAAACCACAATAATACTTTTCAGTTTGGTAAAACATGAATAAACTGGTAAGCTGATGCTTTAGACAGAAATTGAGACTGTGTGTAGTTTGAAACATAATCACAGGTGTTATATTGTCATCAAATGGAAACACACTAACAATATCCCGAAATAATATGCTGGAAAATGCTAATGTAAACTTACATGAGGACAAGCAGGCAAACAAAACAACAAGGAACTCAGACTATTATTTATCAACATCAAATTAATAGTTATGTTCATAAAAGGAAATTAAATGGAGAAGTGCAAAAATAATAATGCTTTTATTAATAAACACACTGAGGTTACATGATTGATGAGCCAAAAGTAGTAGACATAAGTTTATAACTTACCATTTATCCAAATTCACTCATGAAACTCATTCTTCTCTTCTTAAGTAAAATGCAAGATGAAGGGAAAAAGTATTCTTAGCCTTTAAACCCCAACACTTTATAACCAAATAGAGGATAGGAAAATCCAAGACGGTCAAAATTTGGTCCATTTTTTCCCCAAAATATCCTCAATGCAAAAGAGCACTTTTTACCTAACAAACTTTGGAAAAAAGGGAATATAAAATATAATAGAGGGTAGAACTGGAAAACAAAAAACACCGCATTACAGCTTTTAGATGACTGTGTAATAATGTCAATATCAATCTTTGTCCTCCATAGCCTATGCTTTTTTCCCTTTTTTTTGAGAAAGATTAACATTCTTTTGTTTATGTTCATGCTAATAAAATGTGACAGTCTGTTGAAGTGGCACAAATAATGGATGAATCTCTAGATGAAAATAATCTGGAAAAGGTGATGAGATGCATCAATGTATCTCATGAACACATCCAAACTAGCTTTAGGGAAGCAGCTCAGTCTTCCAAGTGTGGCTCTCCTCCAGCATTCTTCTCACGTTTCTCAGCTTCATGGGTTTACTCGAAAGTGCTCTCCTTGGGGGTTTCTGTTTTTGAACGTGAACGTAGGTAAGGAGATGAGCTACTTTAGCTATTTTTCATTAAACCTTCGAAAATATTGAATTTGCTGATTAGCTTCACTCTTGGTTTCTCATAATAGCAGTCTATTCAAAGTACAAACGCTGTTGATCTAGAATCCTAAATTATTCATGAAAATTTAATTTGTCCTCCTTTAGCATACTATTTATATTAGTTAAGATTAATCGCGGATAGACCCACTGTACTATCACTCAACTGCAGACCTAACCATGTATTATCACCCAGTTGAAGGTAGACCCCCCCCCCCCCCACGGCACCCAAAAAAAAACGCCAACCTGCGTTCCTAATTGTTGCAATGACCCATCAAATCGAAATTCTTGTTCTTTTACCTAGGAAAGATTGTTTTTTGACAATAGACTTCTCTGTGGGAAAAAGGAGTAAAAAATTCACTCAGTAAGGGTCATCGCTACTTAAGGCAATAGTAGAAAGGGCGGGTGGGAGGTCGGGGGTGGGTGCGGGGGGGGCGGGTTCTTTTTGCAACTATAGAACTACTGTGGTCCTATCTGCAATTGGGCAATAGAACAGGGGGTCTATCTGCAAGCAACATGGGTAGTATGAACTCCTAAGAAGTAGCTAAATCTATTTTCAGGTATGAAGATGCTATAAGACTTCTGAAGGATCTCCTTAGCCAAATCACTCGTGATAGCAGGCGGGGTTATTGGACCCTCAGGCTATCAATTGACTTGGAACATATAAACCGTGTTAATGAGAGCCTTGCTATTGCAGAAGAAGGTGTTTTAGATCCCTGTGTTCGTGCTGGTTCAAAGTTAGCACTACAAAGGAGAGTTCTTCGTTTGGCCAAGCCACCACGGAGATGGAAGACACCAAGCTATGCTAATTCAGTCAAGCGAACAATTAAAGAAGTATGTTCCTTATTACCTTTCCCTCTTCGGATATACACCCTGAGTGAACTTTTTTTTTAATTTATCTTTTATTCCCTAGAAAGAGAGAATTATTTTTTGATAAATAGACCTCCTGGGGGTAAAAAAAAAGCCAAAAGTTTCACTCAGGAGGTCTATCTGCAGTTGGGCTATAGTAAATGGGGTCTATTCACAACAATAGAAGTACAAGGGGTATATTTGAAATTAACTCTTGTGAGTTTAACTCCTCAATAGGTAAGTGTCAGAGGGCGCCCTTTGACCAGTGAAATTGGAGCAAAGAGCCTATTTTATGGTTTTAACGATGAGCTGTGCGGGGTCGAGCAATTGGCTCTTCAATACTATGCTGGTGATGGAGGCGGATGGAATGGTGTACATTCAGAAAGTGGGATTTGGATGACCATCTTTGGTATTCTCATGTGGGATGTCATATTTGCCGATGTTCCAGATGTATTCCGCTCTAGATTTCAGGTACATGATCAAAGTAGCTCAGAATGAAGACTTCATCCTAAACATAAGGGTAGATTTTAGGAAACTTCTATAAGCCACCAGAGGCTTTGCTGGAAAATGTCGTAGATTTTTTAATTATAGAAAAATAAACCACTAACTTCTCCGGGTCGCCATTGTAGAAAGTTAACACGTGGTAAAACATGTGACATAGGATAATTTTGCCCTCAATTAGTCTATATAACTACTACTACTACCTCATCTTCACCCCCTTCTTTCCAAGTTGTAAACAGGGGTATTTTACTCTTGGGTTAATTCCAAATAGACCCCCTGTACTATCGCCCCATTGCGGGTAGACCCCCTGTAGTACTAATGTTTGTAGATGGACCCCTTGAGTGAAAAAAAAAATTCTCTTTTACCATCAGGAGGTCTTCAACTCTGCTAGTATTGCAAAATACTACGAGATTTGAGTATTTCTCTAACAAAACTAGTTTAGGATATCTAATTTCAAACCCTTGATATTTCATGTTAGTTTTGTGAAACTTAAGTTATAATTTGGGTTCCTAATTTGCAGATGGCTCCATTAGATTTCCTCACTGACGATTTCTACATCACAAGAAGAAATCTCATCGAACTTCACTTACAAAAAATTCAAAAAGGCAAAGCTGGTGAAATCTTGATCGCTTCATGGGATTCTCACGTGGGGACCGCTTGTCACGGTGTGAACTGGGACCGCCATTCTTTATCAGACCTTCGAGCTGTTGTTTCTTGCATCGGAGGTTCTTGTTTGGCTTCACTATGTCGACACCTTGCCCTAGATTATCGAAGTTGGTGTAGTGGCATGCCCGACTTATTGCTGTGGAGATTTCATGGAGGAGATGGGGATGCAGGTCGAGCTAAACTTGTGGAAGTTAAAGGGCCAAGAGATCGACTCTCGGAGCAACAGAGGGCTTGGATGCTGATTCTTATGGATTGTGGTTTTGATGTTGAGGTATGTAAAGTTGGCTCACCTTGAAAATTGTAGTGATGGGTTGGTTTATATTCACATTCTTATGTAACTTCATTTGTTCATGCAACAGAAAGACTGCAAAGATAGTGTATTCACATTTTTTTTATTTTCACTATTCAACCTTGGGAAGAAAGTAGATTGGTGATTTGATTGGTGAATGCCTTGGAGGAATTCCTTGGACTCTGACCTTGTCCAAAGTAATTTGCATAACATCAAATTATTATTATTATTATTATTATTATTACTATTATTATTATTTGGAGGAAGTCCTTGGACTCTGACCTTGTCCAAAGTAATTTGCATCAATTTGTTATTATTATTATTATTACTATTATTACTATTATTATTAGGGAAAAATGTGTCCAGGCCCTAAAAGTGGGAACTTCGTGTGACTAGCCCCCCTGTACTTTGCCCCATGTGGAATAGCCCCCAAAAATGGGCTTTAATGTTTTAAGCCCCCTCCACGTCAGCTTTATACTAAAAGCAGATGGTATTTTACAAAAAAACCGAAACTGCCCTTCTCTTTCTTCCCCAGACGAGTCCTGGAAGTCACTTTTCATTAATGCGATATGATGGGGAAAATGGAGGGAAATTTCCCCCTTTTTTTACTCCATCGAACTAGTTAGTTCTCCATTACTCCTCCTCCTCAGACCAAAATTCTCTCCATAACTCTCTCCATCATGAGCAATAACTAGTTAGTTCTCCATTACTCCTCCTCCTCAGATCAAAATGGCTGAAAAGGACATCATCTGCATTGTCTCTTCGCAGTATAAAGCAGTATTCTTGAAGATTAATTCTTCAACCACCATCTTGGATCTCAAGTTTGATGCGGCAGAGAGGTTAGATCTTCCATACGAGTCATTAATTTTGGCATACGAAGATCAAACAGTTGGAAGCTTAAAATTTCTCATTGAGAACGATGGTGATCTGACGTCTATGGTGGAGCATTGCCACAATCTTGGACTGAAAGAGGTTCACGTGCAAGCTTTTAAAGAAGGTGATGATTCTTCGAATAAACAGGAAAACGAGCAAGTCCGACAAGACATGTAGGTTAACTGTAAAATCAATTAACTTAAGTTCTAATCGTCTTCTTGTTAGTTCTATACTAGGTTTAACTGGACTTCAGTTCTAATGTTTTATTTGTCATTAAGCAGTTCTTTGTTATGCTCCATACTAGAGTTCTAATGTTTTATTTGTCAGTTCTAATCGCTATTTTGTTAGTTCTACTAGAGTTATTGCTGGTTCCACTATAGTTCCCATATTGTTAGTCCTAATTGTTATAAATTAGATATAACGTGGTATAAATTAGACAATGTAGGTATAAAATAGAACTAACAAGCCATCAGTTAGAACTGACACTAACACACTACAGATTAGAACTAACACTGTGCATATTATTAGAACTAACACGCTACCGAATAGAACTAACACTGTAGGGGATTAGAACTAACACTCTACAGAATAGAACTAACACTGTGCAGATTAGAACTAACACTCTACAGAATAGAACTAACACTGTGCAGATTAGAACTAACACTCTACAGAATAGAACTAACACTGTGCAGATTAGAACTAACACTCTACAGAATAGAACTAACACTGTGCAGATTAGAACTAACACTCTACAGAATAGAACTAACACTGTGCAGATTAGAACTAACACTCTACAGAATAGAACTAACACTGTGCAGATTAGAACTAACACTCTACAGAATAGAACTAACACTGTGCAGATTAGAACTAACACTCTACAGAATAGAACTAACACTGTGCAGATTAGAACTAACACTCTACAGAATAGAACTAACACTGTGCAGATTAGAACTAACACTCTACAGAATAGAACTAACACTGTGCAGATTAGAACTAACACTCTACAGAACGGAACTAACACTGTGCAGAATAGAACTAACACTCTACAGAATAGAACTAACACTGTGCAGATTAGAACTAACACTCTACAGAACGGAACTAACACTGTGCAGAATAGAACTAACACTCTACAGAATAAAACTAACACTGTGCAGATTAGAACTAACACTCTACAGAATAGAACTAACACTGTGCAGATTAGAACTAACACTCTACAGAATAGAACTAACACTGTGCAGATTAGAACTAACACTCTACAGAATAGAACTAACACTGTGCAGATTAGAACTAACACTCTACAGAATAGAACTAACACTGTGCAGATTAGAACTAACACTCTACAGAATAGAACTAACACTGTGCAGATTAGAACTAACACTCTACAGAATAGAACTAACACTGTGCAGATTAGAACTAACACTCTACAGAATAGAACTAACACTGTGCAGATTAGAACTAACACTCTACAGAATAGAACTAACACTGTGCAGATTAGAACTAACACTCTACAGAATAGAACTAACACTGTGCAGATTAGAACTAACACTCTACAGAATAGAACTAACACTGTGCAGATTAGAACTAACACTCTACAGAATAGAACTAACACTGTGCAGATTAGAACTAACACTCTACAGAATAGAACTAACACTGTGCAGATTAGAACTAACACTCTACAGAATAGAACTAACACTGTGCAGATTAGAACTAACACTCTACAGAATAGAACTAACACTGTGCAGATTAGAACTAACACTCTACAGAATAGAACTAACACTGTGCAGATTAGAACTAACACTCTACAGAATAGAACTAACACTGTGCAGATTAGAACTAACACTCTACAGAATAGAACTAACACTGTGCAGATTAGAACTAACACTCTACAGAATAGAACTAACACTGTGCAGATTAGAACTAACACTCTACAGAATAGAACTAACACTGTGCAGATTAGAACTAACACTCTACAGAATAGAACTAACACTGTGCAGATTAGAACTAACACTCTACAGAACGGAACTAACACTGTGCAGAATAGAACTAACACTCTACAGAATAGAACTAACACTGTGCAGATTAGAACTAACACTCTACAGAATAGAACTAACACTGTGCAGATTAGAACTAACACTCTACAGAATAGAACTAACACTGTGCAGATTAGAACTAACACTCTACAGAATAGAACTAACACTGTGCAGATTAGAACTAACACTCTACAGAATAGAACTAACACTGTGCAGATTAGAACTAACACTCTACAGAACAGAACTAACACTGTGCAGATTAGAACTAACACTCTACAGAACAGAACTAACACTGTGCAGATTAGAACTAACACTCTACAGAACAGAACTAACACTGTGCAGATTAGAACTAACACTCTACAGAATAGAACTAACACTGTGCAGATTAGAACTAACACTCTACAGAATAGAACTAACACTGTGCAGATTAGAACTAACACTCTACAGAATAGAACTAACACTGTGCAGATTAGAACTAACACTCTACAGAACAGAACTAACACTGTGCAGATTAGAACTAACACTCTACAGAACAGAACTAACACTGTGCAGATTAGAACTAACACTCTACAGAACAGAACTAACACTGTGCAGATTAGAACTAACACTCTACAGAATAGAACTAACACTGTGCAGATTAGAACTAACACTCTACAGAACAGAACTAACACTGTGCAGATTAGAACTAACACTCTACAGAATAGAACTAACACTGTGCAGATTAGAACTAACACTCTACAGAATAGAACTAACACTGTGCAGATTAGAACTAACACTCTACAGAATAGAACTAACACTGTGCAGATTAGAACTAACACTCTACAGAATAGAACTAACACTGTGCAGATTAGAACTAACACTCTACAGAATAGAACTAACACTGTGCAGATTAGAACTAACACTCTACAGAACAGAACTAACACTGTGCAGATTAGAACTAACACTCTACAGAACAGAACTAACACTGTGCAGATTAGAACTAACACTCTACAGAACAGAACTAACACTGTGCAGATTAGAACTAACACTCTACAGAATAGAACTAACACTGTGCAGATTAGAACTAACACTCTACAGAACAGAACTAACACTGTGCAGATTAGAACTAACACTCTACAGAACAGAACTAACACTGTGCAGATTAGAACTAACACTCTACAGAACAGAACTAACACTGTGCAGATTAGAACTAACACTCTACAGAACAGAACTAACACTGTGCAGATTAGAACTAACACTCTACAGAACAGAACTAACACTGTGCAGATTAGAACTAACACTCTACAGAACAGAACTAACACTGTGCAGATTAGAACTAACACTCTACAGAACAGAACTAACACTGTGCAGATTAGAACTAACACTCTACAGAACAGAACTAACACTGTGCAGATTAGAACTAACACTCTACAGAACAGAACTAACACTGTGCAGATTAGAACTAACACTCTACAGAACAGAACTAACACTGTGCAGATTAGAACTAACACTCTACAGAACAGAACTAACACTGTGCAGATTAGAACTAACACTCTACAGAACAGAACTAACACTGTGCAGATTAGAACTAACACTCTACAGAACAGAACTAACACTGTGCAGATTAGAACTAACACTCTACAGAACAGAACTAACACTGTGCAGATTAGAACTAACACTCTACAGAACAGAACTAACACTGTGCAGATTAGAACTAACACTCTACAGAACAGAACTAACACTGTGCAGATTAGAACTAACACTCTACAGAACAGAACTAACACTGTGCAGATTAGAACTAACACTCTACAGAACAGAACTAACACTGTGCAGATTAGAACTAACACTCTACAGAACAGAACTAACACTGTGCAGATTAGAACTAACACTCTACAGAACAGAACTAACACTGTGCAGATTAGAACTAACACTCTACAGAACAGAACTAACACTGTGCAGATTAGAACTAACACTCTACAGAACAGAACTAACACTGTGCAGATTAGAACTAACACTCTACAGAACAGAACTAACACTGTGCAGATTAGAACTAACACTCTACAGAACAGAACTAACACTGTGCAGATTAGAACTAACACTCTACAGAACAGAACTAACACTGTGCAGATTAGAACTAACACTCTACAGAACAGAACTAACACTGTGCAGATTAGAACTAACACTCTACAGAACAGAACTAACACTGTGCAGATTAGAACTAACACTCTACAGAACAGAACTAACACTGTGCAGATTAGAACTAACACTCTACAGAA